GGCATGATTAACATCTATGCTCCATCTTGAGGGGAAGTGTTGAAGATATGTGATTATAGAAAGATTTGCTATTGTAAATATTAGGAAAGATTAGATTAGATTTGTTTTGATTATAGTATCAATTATTAATTAGGTAATAGATTGATTTAGACTAGTATGATTTTAGGATCTATATTAAGTTACACTTGTGTATATATATATTTGTACATTGTGTAGTCCAAAGATATGAATAAGAGTATTTTCTCTCCCTTTTTCTTAGTTTTCACTTCGGACGTCCGGTACCTTCAAAACTTGTGTCCGAAAGTAGATGGTAAAGTTTAAGAAATCTTTTTCAATTCTTTCGGCCGTCCGGTACCTCCAGTGCTCTGCATCCGAAGTGTTGCGCAGTTTATCAGACGTCCGATACTCTAATGTTTTGCGTCCGATCGATGTCAGTGAATTTAGAGAAAATATTTTAATTCTTTCGGACGTCCGGTGATGAAATTCTTCATGCGTCCGAAGTTACTCAATAATTGTCGGACGTCCGATACAGTCTTTAGGAGTGTCCGACAGTTTCAACAATTTTTGTCTTTTCTAATTGCGCTTAATCTTTGAACCTGATTTGCTCAATTGCTGAAAAGATCTTTGAGGATAAAATTAGTAACATCCATTTATTTTGTAAATATCAAAAGCTAGGGACTTAGATTTATAATCTCTCCATTTTTTATGATGACAAAACAATGGATGGAGAGAAAAAAAATCATTGAGTTAAAACTCCCCCTTTTTTAATGCATAATGTATCAAAAAAAAAAAATTGTAAGGGTCACTCCCCCTCAGACATATACCAGAAGACTCTAAAACTTCCTGGCATTCCATTTTCTTATCATCCATTTCTCCCCCTTTTTGTCATCATTAGATGATTCAAATCTAGTATCCAACATCTAGAAACCCAACATCAATGTCATCAGCAACATCATTAACCAAGAATACCAAACAATATCAGCAATCATCAATATCAGCAATCATTAATATCAGCAATCAATTATCAGAAATCAGCAGTCACAGGGATACCAATCATTTAGCTTTCATAAACAGAGTTAACCAAACAAAAGATAACCAACAAAATTAACCAGATACTATTCAAAATATTAAAGTTAACCAAGGTTTATAAACCAACAGAGTTAACCAAATAACCAAAATCCTGAGTGCAGAATACTTGAAATGTTAAAATGTAGAAGATGCAAATGTCTATTATGAGATGCCATCCTAAATATAAAGTACAAGTGTCTAAAAGTGCCTAAATTGTGATATTGGACGATCCAGACCTCCTCCTTGCTAGGCGAAATTGAGCAGGATCCACTTCTTCCTCTTCAATTTCCTCATCATCATCACTGTCTTCATTTACTGAAGCCTTTCCCTTGTTTTGTGGCTGAGAACTGAAAGCACGAACCTCTGGAGTGGATTTAGTGTTTGGAGTTTGCTCAATTGGTTCAGTTCTAGACTCCTTTTGATGTACATTCTCATTTTCTTGAGAGATAGGAGGCACAAGCAAGTTTCTTTTGTCAATGAAAGTGGCTTGTTGTTCAGGTGACATGGTTATCATCAGACCATCTTCAATAAGCAGTATGTGTTGTTTGAGGTTCTCAAGTGAGAAAATGACCTCATGAGTGGATGAGGAAGGCTGAGTGGATGATTTTTTGGGATGAATGGTAAAAGGTGAAACAAACTGAGACTGGTCTCAAGGAGTTCTAGGGATGACAGGAGTTTCATGACTACTCTTTGTCCTAAACTCCAAAACAGTTTCCTTGTAGCACCATTTACCATAAAAAAATCTCAGATTTTTCTTTCAAAGTAAGCTTTTGAAAAGACAGTAGATGCACATTCTTTTGGTGACACTCCAGTGAAAGGAATCTTAAAGTGAGCAAAGATTGGTGTTAAAAATTTTTCATAAGAAAGTTTTCTACGGCTATCAGTGCTGATTTTGATTAGAAATTTGCACATTACAAAACCAAAATAATGCAGACTTTTTCAACAAAGCAGTAAAACAAGCAAAGCTCTATTTTGTTGGTATCTGTCCTATGACCATTAGTAGGAACTAACAAATTTGAAATTATTGAAAATATGATCAAATTTTAGGGACTGAGATCCTCCAATCTAAGCTCAGCAAGAGTGTTAAAGTGTGTTTAAAAATAAGTCATCAGTTTTGCAATATAAAAATGATGATAGGCAGAAAAAAATTCTTCACATGAGAAAAAGTTTACAGTTTTTCCTTTGAAACTATTTTCAATTTTGGTTTTCAAAATAGCATTGACAATATAAGGATTGAGAGCAATATCGACTGAATTGACTCGAGAAACAATATCAGTGTGTGAGCTACCCTTTGTAAGATAAGCAAAGAATTAATGAAGCATGTCAGGGTAATAGGTATTGGGAATGGTTAGAATATGAGTCCATTTTTGAAAAGTAAAAAGTTCAAGAGCAGGTTCAAGGTCAAGCTTACGGAATTTAGAAAGGATAATAGTTCTCTGAGTAATTAAAACCCTTCTGAGAAATCCATTCAAACCTCTCCCTGGCATCATCATCGATAAATTTGGGTAATGGAGTGGGTTCTTTTTCAGGTTGAGCCTCAGATTGTGCTTTGGCAGAACGCTTCTTCTTTCCACTGCGTTGAGCAGTTGGCACAGCAGTTTGGATATCAGACCTTGTTCTTGGTGACTTCCTGGTAGAAGGTTCAGCAGTTTGCAGTTCCTCAGCATTTTGCTCATCAGTTTGATGTTTTTCAATTTGCTCAAAAAAACGGCTCAGTAGTTTCCTGTACCTTAGTTTGAGCAGTCGATTTGTCTCTGGCTGGCTGTTTCCTTTTTTACCATAAGTTGCAGTTCCTTTTTTGGGTGATTTCATGGTGGAAGGTTCGACCACTTCAACATCGTCATCTATAAGCTGGGTAGTGCTTCCGGCACTAGCAGATCCATCTCTGACTCTAACCATGATGATATACAGGGTATGACGAACTGAGAGAATGATGCAAATGTGTATGAGATGGACATAGAGTGCGGTATTGACTACAATTTGTGCTTGAATCGTCCAGAGAGAGTGAATTTTGAGTGACTAGAGTTTCGACTGAAAATTGGGATTTGTGTGGTGGTTGGTTGTTAGAGGTGTTTATGAGGATTAATGGACGCGTAAAGGAGGTATGATGATGTTGGACAGATCAATTTCTTGAAACTTGTTCAGAGGAGAGATAAATTTTAAAATTTGAAAGTGGGAGAAGATGAAGGGTTGCGTCTAATATAGCGGTTAGAAAAATGAACTAAATGAAGGAGAAGACTGACTTATAACAAGCATTTTGAGTGTTGGATGGCCGATAAAGTGTGACCAGATAATTTTTCAGAAAAACTTTTCAACAACGCCCAATTTTGTTCTAAAATACAAACTGATCTAGTAGAAGGGCTTTTATGAGAATGTCAGCACTTTGATCTTTTGATCAAACATATTGTACACAAATTTCACCTTTTTGGATGAGATCTCCAATGAAATGATGTTTTATGTCTTTATGCTTTGTCCTAGAATGTTGAACGGGATTTTTTGTCAAATTTATGGCACTTGTATTATCACAATACACAGGCACACAATCATATACTAATCCAAAATCATTCAAGGTATTTTTCATCCACATTAATTGAGCACAATATGCACCGGCGGCAACATATTTCGCTTCGACCGTAGACAAGAAAATAGCATTTTGTTTCTTATTTAACCAAGACACTAAGCAATTGCTAAGAAAGTGGTATGTTCCACCTGTACTCTTTCTATCTATTCTACATCCACCAAAGTCAGCATCCGAAAAATCACATAAAGGAAATTCATGACACCTAGGATACAAAAAACCATAGTTCAATGTTCCTTTCAAGTATCTAAAAATTCTTTTCATAGCAATCAAGTGAGATTCTTTTGGATAAGATTGGAAATGAGCACACAAGCAAACAACAAATATGATATCAGGTCTACTTGCGGTTAAATAAAATAAACTACCAATCATACCTCTATACTTCTTTTCATCTACATTTATACCTCCTGCATCCTTGTCAAGTTTGGTAGATGTGCACATTGGCGTTCCAACTTGTTTTGATTCCTCCATACTGAATCTTTTGGGCAGCTCCTTGGTGCATTTAGTTTGATTAATGAATGTTCTTTCTCGAGTTTGTTCCACTTGAAACCTAAGGAAGAAATTCAATTCTCCCATCATGGTCATCTCAAACTCTTTTTGCATAATAGTGGAAAAATCCTTGCACAAACACTTATTAGTAGCACCAAATATAATATCATTAACATATATTTGTACAATTAGTAGATCTTTGGAGCATTGTTTGATGAAAAGAGTGGTGTCTACAATGCCCCTTTTAAAACCATTTTCAATCAAGAAATCACTTAAGCGTTCATACCATACTCTTGGAGCTTGCTTTAAACCATACAAAGCTTTTGAGAGGTTAAACACATGATTTGGAAACGTTTCATTTTCAAAACCGGGAGTTTGGTCAAAATATATTTCTTGATCAATAAAATCATTTAAGAAAGCACTTTTAATATCCATTTGGAATAATTTAAAATCTTTAAAACATGCAAATGCCAAAAACATTCTAATTGATTCTAGTCTAGCTATGGGAATAATCAAAATCTATTTCCTCTTCTTGAACATACCCCTTAACTACTAGTCTAGTCTTGTTTCTCATCACTTCACCTTTGTCATTCATTTTATTTCTAAACACCCATTTTGTACTAATAATAGGATGATATTGAGGTCTTTCAACTAATATCCACACCTTGTTCCTTTTAAATTGGTTTAGTTCCTCTTTCATAGATAAAATTCAGTTTTCATCTTTCAATGCATCAACAACATTTTTTGGTTCAAAATGTGAGACCAAAGCAAAATTGTCCATCAATTGTTTTGAAGAGGAGCGAGTTCTTATCATTTCGGATGGATCACCAATAATGAGTTCCTTAGTATGATTTTGAACAAACTTTCAAGCTTTTGGAAGATCCCTAGGTACATCATCATGATTGTCATTTTCTTCCAATGCTTGATTGTCTTGGGGATCATCTTCTTTTGAGAGCTCTTCTTGTGGAACATTGTTTTGATCATGAATTATGAGCTCCTTAAGTCCTTCTTGAACACCTACATCATCATCCTCACAACTACTTTTGAAAATATCATCATTAGATTCATCAAAAATGACATGTATGGCTTTTTCAATAACAAGAGTTCTTCTATTATAGACTCTAAAACCTCTTTTGTTCTCACAACATCTCAAGAAAATGCCTTTATTAGATTTCTTGTCAAATTTTTCAAGATGTTTCTTGATATTTAAAATAAAGTATTTGCAACCAAAAACTTTGAAATAACCAACAATTGTTTTTTATCAAACATTAACTCATAAGAGGTTTTGTTCAAAATAGGTCTCAAAAGAACTCTATTCATAGCATAGCAAGCGGTATTAACTGCTTTGACTCAAAAATATTTTGACAAGTTTTTTTTTTTTTTTTTTTTATATAAAAGGGGAAACCCCCGATATTTTATTTATAACAACGGATAAACCCAAGAAGGTGGAAAAAATCCCAACCTTCAATACATGCCGGATAACTAGGAGCTATACCTACACAGGAAACCTGCGAATGTATGGAAAACCTATCGCATCCAAATTAATCAGCGACCGAACTCTACTTGGAAGCTGCTGAACAGATTGAAATGTAACATATGGACTCTCCCGAGATAACGCAGCTAAGCTATCTGCCACGGCATTCGCCTCACGATGAATATGTGTAATAGACCCCTTCACCTTGCCCAGTAACAAGCGAATTTGACTTAAGACGCTACACAACGGCCACTTACCAACCGATCGATTCTGGACTAACCTTACCAAAACTAAGGAATCCACCTCTACCAAAATACCTGACAACCCTGCCCCCATACACCACTGCAGCCCAGAACACAATGCCAAGCCCTCCGCATATACCACTTCATATTCCCCAATTTCCTTATAAAAAGCACCAATCATCTTCCCTTCAGAATCACGTACCACCCCACCACCTTTAGCTAAACCATTGATCACACTTGCATCTGTGTTGAGTTTGAACGACCCTCTAGGCGGCTTCATCCATGATATAGCCTTCAGACAGAATGATTTGGCTGGCTTGACCAGAAAAAACCGTGCAAAATACGTATTCATATCCCCCTCCAACTGCACTTTGTTTAACATACAAGCCGCCCCCTTAGCAACCAACCACCCATTGGCTTCGAAGATAACTTTGGAATGGACAGGGTGAAGATTTCCAAACCGAGCATCATTTCTACTACGCCATAGAAACCATAACACCACTACCGGTATGACACACCGAACATGATCCAATCGGCCATTGCTAGAAGATTGGAACCACACCACTAGCAGTGAAGAAACACATGAGAATGAACGCCACTGAATTCCGCAAGCCAGAAAGAAATGCTGCCAAACAGCACTTGCTAACCTGCCATGTAAGAAAATATGATTCAAGGATTCCACCGCATTACCACAGCAATCACATTTAGAAACCATGGCCATTCCTCTAGACCGGAGCTTGTCGTCCAGAGGGAGAAAATCAGACAAAACCCTCCAAGCTAAGTACGACATTTTTAACGGGAGTAACGGACACCAAATTCCATGGCAAATCAAAGACGTGTTACGCCGCTGCCGAACCAGTTCCCAGGCTGACGACACTGAAAATGCACCATCAGCGGAAGGAGCCCAAATTAACTCGTCCTTAAGCTTCGGATCAACAAATGTTTGAGAAATAATATTAACAATAGATCGTGGAAGAACCTGGAGGAGACGATCAGTATTCCACCCCGTAGAGGTGTAAAACTCAGCTACCAAAAAGTGAGGAGGCGCACCAGTAACCTGGCTGCTAAGTGGTTCATTGAAAAGCCATCGATCATACCACAAATCGATGAAGCCTTCACCGAGCCGCCAACGAATGTTATCTTCAGTGATAGCCCGCACCAAACAGACCCTCTTCCATGTTGCCGACCCCACAGCAGCCGAAGCCAAACCTGGATGTTGCTCGCCAATGTACTTACGGTGCATAAATCTGGCCCAAGGAGACCTCTTTTGACGTATTGTCCACCATAATTTCATAGCAAAAGCCCTCTCCAAATCCAAAAGAGACCGAAACCCCAATCCCCCTTCTTCAACTGGAAAACAGACTTTTTCCCAAGAGGACCAATGAATCCTCCTACCATCCTTGCCATCCCATAGAAAGGCGTTAAACAGCTTGCCCAATCTAATAAAGACCCCCTTAGGCGGTTTAGTAACCTGCAGGAGGTAAAGAGGCATAGAACTCAACACATGACGAATCAATATGAGCTTCCCCCCAGCAGACAGAAATCGGGAACTCCAATGGTGAAGAAACGGCATTTTATTTCTAAACACCCATTTTGTACTAATAATAGGATGATATTGAGGTCTTTCAACTAATATCCAATGGTTGAGGAAGTTTCCCATGACAAAGAACCACACCCCACTGATCCAAGCTCATCAATTCCAGACCCTGGTTCATCAACTCCTGTGACTCCTCATGGCCCTTCCACATCAGATAAAGGCAAGGCACCAGTTGAAGAGGCTGCTGCAGATGATGAAGAAACTGAAGAGGAGGACCTCTCCCAATATCAGCTCTCTCGAAGAACACCTGGATCCACATAGTTCACCATTTAGGACATTTGCATTTTGTTTATTTCATGTGTTTGTGGTGTTCAACAATGGATATGTAGATGAATTCAACATTTGGTTATGATTATGTTTATGTTTCTTTTGGTACTGTTTGATAGATGTTTAAGTATTTTGAATGATGATTGTGTGGATGTAATGAATTTTGTGGATGATTGTGTGGATGTTTAAGTATTTTTGAATGATGTTTGTGGATGAGATGGATGTGATTGATTGCCCTTTTGTGATGACAAAAAGGGGGAGAGGACTGGATTGATTGATGATTGATGATTGATTGATTGATGATTTGATCAAATTTGGATTGGCTGATGGATTGAATTGGTAAAATGTTGGATGTTGGCTGCTTAATTGTCATATTTTGGATAATTGTTTAATTCGGTTGGGCAGCCAAGTGAGGGGGAGTTTTTCAAAATTTTTTTATGATTCACTAAGTAAGGGGGAGTTCTTGTCTATTGAGAAAGGGGGAGTTTTTATTGCAATCATCAAATCTCATTTCAAACCTTTGTTTTGTCATCATCAAAAAGGGGGAGAATGTTATTCTTGGTTTTGATGATCACAAAGGTCTTTGAAATGTTTGTTTAACTCTCTTCAAATATAAGTGTTTTTTGCCTATCAAAGAATCAGGTACGAATATGTCAAGAAATGAAAATCAACCAAAAGAAGAAGCAAAAACAGGACACTCATGTCGGACGTCCTAAGGAATTGGTCGGACGTCCGAAAGGATGAAGATCATTAAGAAGAAGATTCTGTCGGACGCTCGTGAGGAAGCATCGGACGTCCGGATAGATCGGACGTACTCCTCGGACGCACATCGAACGTGTCGGACGTCCTAAAAATTCCACAAAATGTTGATGACTCTCTGCCAAGACTCTGTCGGACGCTCGTAAGGAAGCATCAGACGTCCTGAAGGATCGGACGCATGCTTCGGACGCACATCAATCTCATCGGACGTCCTAAAAATTCCACGAAGATTTGATAACTCTCTGGACGACGTTCGGACACAGAAGCTCGGACGATAAAATACCATCGGACGTCCGAACAACAACTTGACTGATTTTCGGACGATGGGATCGGACGATGACTAAGACGTCGGACGTCCGACAGCTCCAACGGCTAGCTGACTCTTCATCTGCCTTCTATCCGTTGGAAGTATTAATGAAGCTCATTTTTGGCTCCCTTTAAATACAAACGATTCTGATTCAGAAAAGGACTTTTGCACACTTTGTTTACAAGATCTCAAGAGATATTTTAGCTAGAAAATAGTCTCCAAAGCAAGATTTGTTCTCCAAGTGGTGTGAATTTCTTGTGAGCTTTTCTCTTGTGGTTGAAAGTTTCATTAGTGTAGCTTTGTTAAGGGTTATCTGAGTGATTGTAAAACTTCTTAGCTTGACTAAGTGAGGCTTAGGGCAAGGAGGAAGTGCTCCCTCCATTGTACATCTAGTTGATCATCTTTCATCAAAGAGAAGTTGCTCAACCTAGTGATTGGTCTTCAAGTTTGAGGAAAGCTTGGTAGACAATCGGTTTGATATTCTATCTTATTCTTTTTGTTTAATAAAATTCTCATTGCTTATCTATACTTGTTTTTTCGAATCAATATTGCTCTATTCTTCTAATCTACTTGATTGATTATTACTAGAAAAGAAGGTAAATTTTTATTAAGCAAAAATTGCATAAATTTGATTAAGATTTTAATCAACCTAATTCACCCCCCTCTTAGGTTGTCTTTGGGCCTTACAGTGATGATGAGATAACTACTTGCAACTCTCAACCTGTTAGTGATGATGAATCTGATGATGATGTTGAGTCTTTCATTGAGAGATTGCATAATAGTTTGAAAGAATCTTATGCTAGAAACAAGGAACTAAAACAGAAAATTAGTGTTTTGCTTCAAGACAATGCAAATCTTTTTCGACAAAACAAAATGCTGAAAGCTGAAAATGACTACTTAAAAAAGGATGAGAATGTTCTACTTTTTGAGCTTGATAAAAAAATAAAGCTGTGTGAGTTGTTAAAAAAGGAACAAGGTGAATTGAAAAAAAAATGGATGGTCTAAATGAATTGCTTAAACACAAGAAACAAGACTATTTTCAAAAGAATGAATCAAAACCTCACTTTGACATTCATAAGAAAATGTTGAATTCTAATGTAAACGAATTTAACGTCTATAAAAGAAGGTAAATCAGATTTGTTAAACCTGTCTTTGTAAGCAATTCGCTAACTATGTGTAGCTTTTGTTGCCAAGTTGGTCACATGAAGAATAATTTCTATGTAAGAAAGAATATGAGAAATGGCATGAAATGCATGTAGATAGTTAGACATAATGCTAACTTTCAAGAACCCAAAAAGTAAATAGGTACCAAATATCATCTTGTGAACTCTTGTGTGGGTGAGATTGGTAAATATCATTAAGCAATCTAAATGGTTCATAGATAGTGGATGCTCAAGTCGTATGACCAGTGATCCATCACAATTCATCAAATTCAAATCAAAATCAAGTGAAAAAGTAACATTTGGAGATGATAACAAATCCAAAACAGTTGGAGTTGGAGATGTTGGTAAGAATGGTCAAACTTTTGTTCACAATATTCTTCTAGTTGATAATTTGAGTTATAATTGGTTGAGTATTAGTAATTGTGTGATAAAAATATGTTTGTGCTATTCAAAAAGCATGAATATCTTGTTCTTGACTCAAAATTCAACATTATCTTCAAGGAAAAAAGAGTGAATGACATTTATGTAGTTATTCTTGAAAATGTTGATTCTTCTAACCTTAAGTGTCTTAAAGTTGCAAATGAAGACCCTTGGTTGTGGCATAGAAGGTTTTGTTATTTCAATATGAATTTGTTAAAAGAAATTTCCAAAAAGGAACTTGTTAGAGATTTACCAAAAATTAATTTTGAAAAGGACAAAATTTGTGATGCTTGTCAATTTGAAAAACAAGTAAAAGTTTCCTTCAAACCTAAGAATTGTGTTTCTACTTCAAAATCGTTGGATTTTTTACATCTTGATTTATTCGGTCCTACACAAATTACTAGCTTGGATAGTAAAAAATATTATTTGGTTATTGTTGATGATTATTTTAAATGCATTTGGGTGATATTTCTTGCTCACAAGAATGATGCTTTCAAAAATTTTGTTTCATTATTTGCAAAAGTTCAAAATCTGATTGGATTGAAAATTATCAAGATTAGAAGTGACAATGACTCAGAATTCAAATTTTGTGATTTTCCGAAATTCTGTGATAACAATGAAATCACACATAAATTTTCAATTATTAGAACTCCTCAACAAAATGGTGTTGTTGAAAGAAAAAATAGAACTCTTCAAGAAACCGGGAACTCCAATGGTGAAGCTTTGCTCTCACGGAGGCAATAACTCCATCAAATAAGACAGTTTTGCTACGGCCAAGAGAAAGCGGGACTCCCAAATATTTGACAGGCCAAGGCTGACCTTGAAACCCCGTTTCTTGCTGAATTAATTGGATAATCTCCGAAGAGAGCTTCGACGAACACAGAAAGCGACTCTTAGAGAGATTAATTTTTTGGCCAGAGAGAGCTTGATAGTCGTGTAGACAGGACGAAACTGCCTGTAAGCATTCAGTCGATGCCCGGGTGAAAATAATCACGTCATCGGCAAACGCAAGAAACGGGACCATCCCTCCCTTAGACAAAAATCTAAACGCTGGATTGCTAGAAAACAGCCGCTGAAGACCCCTTCCAAGAAATTCCGAGACAAAAAGGAAAAGAGTGGACGATAACGGATCCCCCTGGCGAACCCCTCTAGTCGACTTGAAAAAGCCGGTGAGCTCCCCATTAACCAGGACAGAAAACCAGACGTTGGATACTAACCGAAAAACCAGGTCCACTACCCCTTCTTTAAAACCAAATTCTCGCAGCATATATAACAAAAACCCCCAGTCCACCCTGTCATACGCCTTCTCCATATCCAACTTCAAGATTACATTAGGGTGACGCAGCTTTTTGTCCAAATCCAGAATCAATTCCTGAGCTAGCAAAACATTATCTTGTATTCCCCTGCCCGGAATAAAACCAGTCTGAAACTCTAAAATCAACCTAGGAAGGAGCTGGTTGATACGGGTGGACAAAACCTTAGAAATGATCTTGGCACTAACATTAGCTAAACTAATTGGTCGGAAATCTTTCCACTCACATGCGCCTTCCCTCTTGGGGAGTAAAATGATCGTCGTACTGGAAAATCCGCGAGGCATTGTGGCACCAGCAAAAAAATCCTGCACCCCGTCCATGAAGTCGTCTCTTATACACTCCCAACAACTTTGATAAAAACCCCCGCCAAACCCATCAGGCCCCGCAGCGCTCTGAGGGTCCATTGAGCACACAACAGTATAAACCTCATCCACCGATGGAGATTTCAGCAGCATGTCATTCTCTTCTGGCGTAAGCTTAGGCAGCTCAAGTGAAGGCCTGCTCCCTGAACTAACATCGCGGTCGGCTGTGAACAAAGAGGAGAAAAAATCAGACGCTGACAGTTTAATATCCTCGATATCATCAAGCCAACTGTCCCCGGTGCCCCTAATCCGTGCAATAAAATTAGAGCTGCGTTTCTGCTTAACCGTTGCATGGAAAAAAGAGGTATTCACGTCGCCCTCTTTGATCCATTTGATCGCTGCCTTCTGTCTCCAGAATTCACATTCTAAGGCTAACTCCCGAGAATGGAGTGCCCGAGCCTCATGTACTGCCGACCTAGACAACACGTCCCCATTTTGATCATACAACAATTCCTTGGCCAATAGATTATCCGCTGCCACTTTGACCCGTTGAGAGACATTCCCAAAAACATCCACATTCCATCCAGCTAAAACTCGCTTAACCACCTTCAACTTATTAAAAAATTTCTACATTCCAATTCCAGGAACAGGTTGAGCCCAAGCAGACGTAACTGTTTGTTGAAAAGTAGGATGACTCCGCCAAACATTAAGAAAGCGAAAGGACGACCGCCGCCTTGCCATGCTGCTCCCCTTAACCAGCAACGGACAATGATCAGATCGCCCTCGCTGAAGATGAGCAACTCGAGTCAGCTCAATAGAAGACAGCCAACCAGCATTAACAACCGCTCGATCAAGCCGCTGCCACATACGCCCATTAGTCCATGTGTAGGCAGACCCCTCAAACTGTACCGAAAATAGTCCACTCCGATTTAATGCAGAGTTAAATTCTTCCAGGTCACGAATATTCGGGGCTGAACCTCCAATCCTTTCCTCCACAGAAGAAATAACATTGTAATCCCCTACGGCCATCCATGGAAGTGTAACAGACGTTGAAAAATACTCCAGAGCCTCCCATAACTGTCGCCTACCAATTCTGTTACACCTCGCATAAACAGCCGAAATAAAAATGGAAGAACCAGAGTGGAAAGACACATGCATATGGACCACCTGATCCGCAGCTTCTACAAAAGAATATCACGCATCTGAACACCAGAAAATCCAAATTTTGTTGTGCAAGAAGGACTGTGCAAAATCAAAACCCAAGAACAGCTGCACACTATCCAAATGGGAGACATTAGCTAATGGCTCCAATAGGATCAGTAAACGAATATCGTTTGATCTACAAGCGCTACGAATGTGCCTCAACGACTCCTTATTCGCAGCACCCCGAATGTTCCACACTATAAACTTAATCGGATCTAACATTATGAGACCGAAGGTTATAAGGAGCAGATGAAGGCTTACCGTCTCTTTTTCTGGTCTGCCTACCACGAGTCTTGTGACTTTGAACCAAATTTTGCAGCAATTGTGTGTCTGTATCATCCAGAAGAGCTCCAGGGACAACCGGGTCATCGCTTAACTTAGATGCTGCAATTCTGCTGGCCAGCCGATCCCTAAAATTTTTTAACTCATCCAAAGAGATACCTTTCAACCCTAACTGTCCCTCAGAGTTATAGCGCACTAGACGAGCATGACCTTCATGCCGTCGAGGAGAAAGGGAACAAGCCCGCTCGCGCTGCGGCATTGAAGGCACAGATTTAGTCAACAGAATATCATCTCGGCCGAAAGAAGGAATTGTGTCCGATAAAGCTTTCACCGGAGAAGAAGAAACCGGGGGAAAACAAGTCAGTACTGAGAGATCATTCTGTGTATTCGCCGCACCCCCCCGATATGAATAAGTTAGAACGGGATCCTGAGCATGAACAGTAGTCTGTGTAGGGTTACCCCTAACAGGATTAGACGAAGATGATGGGATAACAGTAATAGAGAAATCTGCAGTGGGATTACTGCTTTCGCGCACTTGTACCCTTGGGGCTGTCACAACCCCCGAATCCACCACAGGAGGAAATTCATCGACAGCCGGTCCTCCCTTCGGTTGAAAGACTTGCCTGCCTTGAGACGGAACTGATGGTCTAGCGCGTCGCACAGGCCGCAACTCCGGATGCTTCTGATGACAGGTACTTTCGACATGACCAATGGACGAGCAAAAACCGCAGTACGAAGGATATTCTTCATACTCAATCTTCTGCCAAAAACCCCACTGATCATCCCCTATCCAAATCCTGGATCTTGGAGAATTCAATACATCAACTTCCAACAATATTCGCGCTACAGACGGACGCTTCAGCGCAGCCGTAGCTTCATCCACCTTTAATGGTCGGCCCAGTAAGTTACCTAGCTTAAGCAGAAACTGCTTTTCAAAAAACGGCAATGGAAGACCTGGGAAATTGACCCAAACTGGTGCGATGGACGACTCTGCTCCCGGCTTAAAATCGATTGTCCATTTCGACAGGGACATATGAAATTTGCCGATGTACCAAGACTTTCGACACCAGAGTCTGGTGTAGTCCTCCTCCACGGAAGGTCGTAAGAGAATATGCTTGGAATCTAATAACCCTATCGGACACTCACCCTTCAGCCCCAAAGAAACAATAAATTTGCGAATAATCTCCATGGAAGGGCGACCAAATGCAAACCTGCCAACCAGTGCATTAGAATAAGGTGCCGCTATCTGTAACATATCTTGACGGGAGATCACCAACGAAGGCTCCCCCTTGTAAGTACTGAGATGGCCAATGCCAGAGGACGAAGAAGCCGGAGATTGAGCCAGAATGGAGGCAAACGTCTTCGAAAAACTCCCCCTTTCTCAATAGACAAGAACTCCCCCTTACTTAGTGAATCATAAAAAAATTTTGAAAAACTCCCCCTCACTTGGCTGCCCAACCGAATTAAACAATTATCCAAAATATGACAATTAAGCAGCCAACATCCAACATTTTACCAATTCAATCCATCAGCCAATTCAAATTTGATCAAATCATCAATCAATCAATCATCAATCATCAATCAATCCAGTCCTCTCCCCCTTTTTGTCATCACAAAAGGGCAATCAATCACATCCATCTCATCCACAAACATCATTCAAAAATACTTAAACATCCACACAATCATCCATAAAATTCATTACATCCACACAATCATCATTCAAAATACTTAAACATCTATCAAACGGTACCAAAAGAAACATAAACATAATCGTAACCAAATGTTGAATTCATCTACATATCCATTATTGAACACCACAAACACATGAAATAAACAAAATGCAAATGTCCTAAATGGTGAACTATGTGGATCCAGGTGTTCTTCGAGAGAGCTGATATTGGGAGAGGTCCTCCTCTTCAGTTTCTTCATCATCTGCAGCAGCCTCTTCAACTGGTGCCTTGCCTTTATCTGATGTGGAAGGGCCATGAGGAGTCACAGGAGTTGATGAACCAGGGTCTGGAATTGATGAGCTTGGATCAGTGGGGTGTGGTTCTTTGTCATGGGAAACTTCCTCAACCACAGGTGGGGGAAAAAGAAGGTTCTTTTTGTCTAGGAAGGCTGTTTGTTGCTCAGAGGACATGGTGAGCATTAGACCATGTTCTAGAAGAAGAACATGCTGTTTGAGTTCACGAAGGAACTCAATCACTTCATCATTGGAGGAGGAAGCTGCTTTAGTGGCAGACTTCTTGGGATGAATGGGAGTGAGTGAAACAGATGAAGGATCATGTGCATTCTTAGACCTCTGTTCACTAGATGATGCCCCCTTATAAGCCCACAGATTATCTTTAAAAACAAGATTTTTCCTTTCAAAATATCCTTTGGTAAAGGCATAAGAAGATGCTTCTTTGGGACAAACACCTAGAATTGGAACTTTGTAAAACTCAAAAATCTTTTGAAGAAACTTTCCATAAAATAATTTTCTGCGAGAATCAGTGGCATAGCGAAGTAAAAACTTGCACATGACAAAACCAAAATTAATACGAATTTTTTCTCGAAAACAGTAAAAGAGATACAACTCCATTTTGTTTGCATCAGTTCTATGGTCATCAGTGGGTACAAGCAGGTTTGAAATGATTGAAAAGGCAATTAGATTCACAGGAGCAAGATCATTCAGTTTAGCATCAGCAGGGGAGGAAAAACTTCTTTTAAAATAAGTTAACATTTTAGCCCCATCAAAATGATTATCAGCAGTAGGGTGCTCTTCATAGGAAAAGAAATTTGCAATTTTGTCCTTGCATCCAGGTTCAATAGTAGTTTTTAAAATATCATTCACAATTTCAGAATCAAAGACTAAGTCTACCCCATTAACCCTGGACATAATCTCAGTCTGATCAGTGCCTTTCCTAAGATTAGCAAAGAATTGATACAGCATTTCAGGGTAATAAACATTGGGCATAGAAACGAGATGTGACCATTTCTGGAAAGCAAATAGACTCAGAATGGATTCTAAACCTATGTGGCGAAATTCAGAAGAGTTTACAATTCGTTGAGGGATGACACCTTTCTGGGATATCCAGGAGTGTTTGTCTTTTGCCGCATCATCAAAGAATGTAGGGAGTGTGGCTGATTTTGGAGGCGGTTGAGAAGAGGTTCCCTGTCCAGATTCAGGTTGAGAGGTGGGTTGTGGAGTAGGCCTTGACATTTGACCTTTTACGGCTCCTCTCTTGAAGCGTTTGGATGAACGTTTGACCGTAGGAAGATCCTCCTCCTCATCCCTGAGTGGATGCTTGCGTCCGGCAGTAACCTTTCCTCCTCTTAGATTCACCATTGTGCGAAATGTGTGGAATGAAGGATGCAAATGATGCACACAGTAGTAGGGAAGTGAATCGCACAGAAATTTTGGGACAAAAAGGCCTTGAACAAGATTTGACAGAGCGGTTATGAGAAAGTAGGGTTTTGAGGAAAATTTGGGAATTTACGAATTGTTAAGCGATTCGGTGAAATGATCAGGAGAAATGAATCGCAATCAACCAGGAAAAGTTTTGTTTGAGTCAATTTGGGAATGAGAGCTTCAGAATGGTATGAATTTGAGAGTGAGAAATGAGAGAGTTGTCGTCCGAGAGGAAATAGAAGAAAAAGAGTTTGAAGCAAATTAGGGAGAAAGTTATTTTAAAAAGTGAGCCGTTGCACTGTCGGACGGCCGAACGAAGTCGTGCGTCCGACATCTTCGTCCGAACAGGTGTTTTCTGGAAAAAATAGCTGACGAACATTATCGGACGTCCGTTCATCTTCTTTCGGACGTCCGAAGACTTTGAGAAATTTTAAGATGATTTTTCGATTATTCCCAATTTTGATCTTAGATGAGTGAACTGATCTAATGGCAAAGCTTTGGTAAAAATATCAGCAAATTGATATTTAGAACAAACATAATTTACACAAATTTCACCTTTTTGAACAAGATCTCGAATAAAGTGGTGCTTTATATCTATATGCTTTGTCCTAGAATGTTGAATTGGATTTTTGGTCAAATTAATAGCACTAGTATTATCACAGAATATAGGCATGCAGTCATATAACAATCCAAAATCATTCAAGGTATGCTTCATCCATAAAAGTTGAGCACAACATGCACTAGCGGCAATATATTCCGCTTCGGTTGTAGACAAAGATATTGCATTTTGCTTTTTGCTAAACCAAGAAACTAAGCAATTACCAAGAAAGTGACAAGTTCCACTAGTACTTTTCTGTCCACACGACAACCACCAAAATCCGCATCCGAATATCCATATAATGCAAATTCACAAGATCTAGCCTACCAAAGACCATAGTCTAATGTTCCTTTCAAATACCTAAAAATTCTTTTAACAGCATTTAAATGTGATTCTTTTGGACAAGATTGAAATCTAGCACACAAGCAAACAGCAAACATAATATCAGGTCTACTTGCGGTTAAATAGAGTAAGCTTCCGATCATACCTCTATAGTGCTTTTCATCCACATGATTACCTTCTTCATCTTTGTCAAGTTTTGTAGAAGTGCACATTGGAGTTCCAACTTGCTTTGAGTCTTCCATGCCAAACTTTTTCAGCAATTCCTTGGTATATTTTGCTTGATTTATAAAAATTCCCTCAAGGGCTTGATGTATTTGAAGTCCAAGGAAGAAATTTAATTCTCCCATCATACTCATTTCAAATTCACTTTGCATAGTGGTGGAAAAATCCTTGCATAGATACTCATTAGTAGCACCAAAAATAATATCATCAACATATATTTGCACAATAAGAAGGTCATTTAACACTTGCTTAGTAAAAAGTGTAGTGTCCACAATACCTCTTTTGAAACCATTTTCAATCAAGAAACCACTTAATCTTTCATACCAAGCTCTTGGAGCATGTTTTAAACCATATAATGCTTTAGATAGTTTAAACACATGACTTGGAAATTTTGTATTTTCAAAACCAGGGGGTTGATCCACATATACTTCTTGATCAATAAAATCATTTAAAAAGGCACTTTTCACATCCATTTGAAACAATTTGAAACCTTTGAAACAAGCAAAAGCAAGAAGCATTCTAATAGATTCTAATCTCGCTACGGGAGCAAATGTTTCATCAAAATCAATTCCTTCTTCTTGTGCATATCCTTTAGCAACTAATCTGGCTTTATTTCTTACAACAACACCTTTATCATCCAATTTATTTCTGAATATCCACTTTGTGCCAATGATAGGTTGATTTTGAGGTCTATCAACTAGTGTCCAAACCTTATTTCTCTCAAATTGATTAAGTTCCTCTTGCATAGCCAAGATCCAGTTATCATCCTTTAAACCATCATTGATATTTTTGGGTTAAAAAAGAGAAACTAAAGCAAAATTGTCTATCAATTTTCTAGATGAAGAACGAGTCTTTACCTTTTCGGATGGATCACCAATTATAAGCTCTCTTGGATGATTTTGGCTAAATTTCCAAGCATTGGGAAGGTCTTTGACTGAATCATCATTCTCATCTTCATCACCCTTTTCTTGATCATTATGAGCTTCATCCATCATTTCCATTGCTGCTGGTTTAGATATTCTTTCATCACCAATTTTCAGCTTTTCCATTCCTTCACGAACACCTACATCATCATCCTCACACGAACTTTTGGAATTATCATCATTAGTTTCATCAAATGTTATGTGAATGGCTTCTTCAATCACAAGAGTCCTTCTATTAAAGACTCTATATCCTCTTTTGTTCTCACAATAACCCAAAAATATTCCTTCATCAGATTTTTTCTCAAACTTACCAAGATGTTCCTTTAAATTTAAAATAAAACATTTACAACCAAAGACTTTGAAATATCCAACCGTAGGTTTTTTATCAAAAATCAGTTCATAAGATGTCTTATTCAAAATGGGTCTCAAAAGGATTCTGTTCATCACATAACATGCAGTGTTTACCGCTTCAGCCCAAAGGTATTTTGGCAAGCTACATTCACTTAACATAGTTCTAGCAGCCTCTTGAAGTGTCCTATTTTTCCTTTCTACAACACCATTTTGTTGTGGAGTTCTTGCAATTGAAAACTCATGTGTTATGCCATTATGATCACAGAATTCTGGAAAACCACAATACTTGAATTCCGTTCCATTATCACTTCTAATCCTAACAATTTTTAAGCCAAGCAGATTTTGCACTTTAGCAAACAATGAAGTGAAATTCTTGAAGGCATCATCCTTATGAGCAAGAAATATCACCCAAGTATATCTAGAATAAT